AGCCGCGCCGCGCATGCGCCGCCGCTAGGGGTCGATGGGAGTTGTAGTTTCCCCCCAGCTCAGGCGCCCTCTGTGGGCGCTTTATTTCTATTTTTTTTTTACACCTCTTTCGGTTTTTTTTCCTTTCCGGGGATGGTGGTGGGAGCGACAGCGAGGGCAGCCCTAGTCCGCTCATCCTGCTCACAGGGCTCCCCACAATCATGGGGTGTCTTGGATTCAGGGCCTCATCCTGGCCTATGGGCCCCACAGCCATGGGGTGCCCCCAGATACAGGGCCCTGTGCTGGCAGGGTGCTCAGCGCCCTGCCAGCTCCAGCCATTAATATTCAGGCTCCATCCCCAGTTGGTAACCGATTGTTCCCACCATGGCGCTGGGCATAGCCGTGTCACGCTCCCCCAGGGATATGGGGAGCACCCTGTCCTGCACCCAGGTTTGGGGTGAGTCAACCCGGGCAGGGCAAGGCTTCCCCTCCCTGCTGACTAACTCCGGCCCCGGGGAGATGTCACATTGGGTTGACGTAGCCTTTTGGGGTGGAAAAGACCCTGGGGGTGAATGCCCTGATGCCCCAGCGATGGGCTCCCAGGTGGATGGAGGGAAGGGGTCTGACCCCACGTACAGCCCCAGGGCTTGAGGGTGGGTGATGGAGAGGACATCGCCAGATCGGGCAGAAGCTCATCGAGGAGGAAGAGAGAGGAGGAAGAGAGAGGAGGAAGAGAGAGGAGGAAGAGAGAGGAGGAAGAGAGAGGAGGAAGAGAGAGGAGGAAGAGAGAGGAAGGCCACCACACGAGGCCAGCAGAGGAAAAGGAGGCGGAGGAAGAAGCAGCCCACCATGTGAGGCTAGCAGACCCCATCCAGCCACGCCATCCCCTCTCTGGCACTGCATACCTGTCCACCGCAATCTCTCTCTGCAGGAAGAAGGCACAGGGTGGGGGGGTGAGGGGCTCCACGAGAGGCCGAAGCACAAGGTACGGCCCCTCTGGGGTGCTGGGGCCAGTTGGGGACCAGGCACCGGCTGTGGCAGGCCTGGGCGGTGGGGCAGGGTGGGAGCTGCAGGGGGACAGCATCCACATTTGCTCCCCAGCCCCTGGGGAGGGAGAGCAGGAGGAGGAGGAGGAGGAGGAGGGCAGCGAGCCCTGTCGCTGCTTTCTAGGGCAGCACAGGAGGGACAGACACTGCGTTTGGCTGCCCTGTCCCCAAGGAGCCAAATACTCCCTTAATTTAGAAGCGGTTCCCTGCTCCTCGCAACCTCGTTTCTGCCAGCCGGGAAGCGAGGCACTCATCCCAGCCGCCGGCACCACCACACAGGCAGGCAGAGTGATGCTTTCTGCTTTTATTCAATTAATGCAGCAATCTATACAAGAAAAAAAAAATAATAATAATGAAACCATGAAATTTCAAACCCTGACAGTGAAGAACCAAATTCTTCCTAAGAATCAACCAGAATTAAAAGATTCCCCCCGCGTCAGACTGTACATAAAATAATCTCTGCCCCATTTACAGCGTTTCACACAGTACTTCTCGTATCTCAAACTTCAGAACTGTACAACTTTGTTACAAACCACGCTTTTTCCTAGGAAAAGCTTACGGAAAAAAATATTGCCACTTCTTCTTTATTTTTTTATTTTTATTTGTAACAAAAAAAAAAATTAGAATCTTTAAAAAACAAAATTAAAGTCAGCCAGAACTTGTAAGTTGTGGGCAGGGGCGCGGGAAGGAGCAGAGACACGCTTCTTGGCCAAACATTTCTCCTCTCGACCGGGAAAGGGAACGCTTTTGGCAGATAAAAGACTATTTGCTGCTGGCGGGGGTCCAGACCCCTGCCCCCAGCCCTCCTCAAAGCATGGCAACTGTTTCGACCCATGGGGCTCAGACCACACAGCGGCGAGCGCTAGGTACTAACAGCACCGAGCACCAAAGGCCGGAGCTCTCACCCGGGCAGAAATCGGCTTGCCCCGCGCCCCAGTGACCCCCGGGATGAGCCAGGCCTCGGTACTGGGATCGCAGCTCCCAGGCATCAGAGCTCTCGCCTAACAGCTGGATGAGAATTCAACAGGTATGGAGCCAGATGTGGCAACCAGGGCTCCCCAGCTGCAGGCAGCCTGCCTGCCAAGCCCATCCAGGCAGGGACCTGCCAGCAGACTTGACAGCCCCTCCCTAGGCCAGCTCACCTCTTACTGCCAGCAAACAGCCTTTCCTTCTCTTCCTATGGACATATCGAGCCCACACGACCAATGCAAGAGCTTTAGTTCAACCACCGAGTCTTCTCGAGATACAGGTAATGGTAACAAACCCCAATTCCTCCTGCTCTTTGCAGAAAAGTGGGGACAAACCCCACCTTCCTCCCCCTTCCTTAGGAAAGACAGTTCTCATGGTCTGGGCTGTAGGTCTGGGTGCATGGGATCATCACATTGGATGTAGCCTTATTCCCAAGTTTTGGGCTGAGCGGGTTACATGAATGACACACTGTGGGTGGATGGAGAGGAGGTCGGACCACACGACCGGACCAGACAGACAGGACAAAGCCCGACAGGGTCAGGTCTGTGCATGAGCCCACGCCACGGAGCAGACGGGGAGAACTTTTGCCTCCAAACTGAAGCTCACCACCTTCCGTCCTCTGCACCAGACCCATGCCACCAGCCTGACCCGAAGCCTGCAGGCAACCCGACACAGTCAGCAACAGAGAACAGGTACAGGCATCACCAGTATTTCTGAGCCAGTTTTACCAGACAGGTTATAGTAAGGGATCTAGACATCTGGATCCACGTGAAAAATGCATCTTCTGGTTTGGAATCAAGGTTTCTCTCCGATGTTGTTCAGTGCAAAAGAGTTAAAAAACCATGTTATCTACACATATACATCCGTATGTATAGAAAATGTCTGTACAAGTGGGGAAGATGGCCTGCCTACATGCTGGGGACTCCTCACCCAAGAGATGCTACGGGTCAGACTGGTTGCATCCCACTCTCTTTCTCTCTCTCCAAGGTGTCAAGCCCCAACCAGTCAGGTTGAAAACCAAGCGCACACGAGAACAGACAGCAGCTGGAGAGCGGCTCTGGCAAGGAGCTCCTCCTGTCCCTCCAGCCACAGCTGCCAGCTCAGACCCACCACACAGATGTGGGGCAGTGGGGGAAGGAAGGAGGGGAGAGCTCCTGACCATGGCATGCGGGAATACTGAAACAAACCGGGAAAGGAAGGATACCTGCGCGTGTACAAATTGCACAAGGACTGGGATGAGGTGATGGTTGGTACTAGGCTAGAGGTAAGACCTCAGGATGCCTTTTCAGCAGATACAGCCAGTGCCTCGTCCCACAGGAGCCCTGCTCTGGGAAGCGGCCCCAGAAAGGCAGGTTGCCTCCAGCTTCATTTTGAGTTGAGACACCAGGATACAGTATCCATATTACAGAAGTAGGAGTAAAACTGGGAGCTGGTGCGGGAGGAGAGGGGGAGAGCAGGTTGTGCAGAGCCAAGACCTCTGGTAGCAACCACTGCCACCGTCAGCAGCACCCGCAGCAGAGCCTGACACTGAGAAGGGCACGGGGCACATCCAGGATGAATCCAGAAAGACAACTAGAAACAGCCATTGCTAGGCATCCTGCTAGCAGGTCTCTAGCTTGTTGGAGAAGTTTGCACCAGCCATAAGGAAGAGAAAGGATCACTGCTCCCAGCATGTGGTTTTGCTATCAGGGGAATGCCGAGCTTTCCAAAACAAGGTGTTTGTAGCCAAGAGCTGGCCCGGATTCTCTGCAGAAAGCTGGGAGGGTGAGGTACACCGCTTCAAACACTAAGCGTGGTCTGAAAATTTTTTTTTAAAGGTTTCAGAAGCAGCAGAAGCATGAACTTTTAGATCTCTGGGCAGACAAGACAGGTTCCTTTGAAGGCTGGCCGTGAGGCTGTGCCCATACCTCCACACCAAGCCGAATGGGGCTCTCACCAGGAAAGCAATCGGATAAAGAGAATCAAGAGACAGGCACTGGGGACCTCGCAGATCAGTGGTACTGAAGGTGATGGTAATTTCCTTTGCACTAATGTGACCGCTAGATCCAGCCTGAGCAGAAACCCCAACAACGGGCGAGTGGCAGGAGCTGCAGAAGTCAGCGGGGAAGGAAAAGGACACCGAAACCCAGATGTCACCAAATGTGCTCGATCACCAAGGAACAGCACTCCGGGGAATGATGCCTAGGGTTTGGGTTTTTTTGTTTGTTTGTTTGTTTTGACTGGGAGCCCCTCAAGACAGCAGCAAACGGGTTTCAAAATATATTACATCTTTTTATTGCCAAGCGTGCAGACCGTGAAGTGTGTGGGGTACACGACACTAAGAAAAACTACAATTTGAGGGAGGGCAAAGCAGTAAAAATTTAAAAATAAGACTACTCCTTACAACTGCCAACACTTGGGTTCAAAGAATCAATTGGAGGAAGTTTCTTAAAAGTACGGTTCTAAATATGGTGTTGGGCCCCAAACTTTGAAAACGCTGAGGCTTTGGTCTGGGCTAACACAAACCGGGTGGGAGAAGAGGAAGAAGGCGGCAGACTTTCTAACACTAACTCCGCGAGGCTGAATGCCTGATTTTTCTCAGCATTTTCTGTAGCAACCAGAAAACTCCCTACCCCAGGAACACAGCCAGGAGGAAGAGGGCAACTGCTGCAGCACTAGCTACTGAATGCACTGAACTGGGGCCAAACTAGACCCTTGCAGCGTCCTTGCTCCCAGAGCCAGCCTCAGAGGGGACAGACCACAGTGGAGCTGCCCAGCTCCCCCAAGGCCGTGGCAGCGCCTGTTCCTGCTCTGACAGAACGCAGCTGGTCCCTCGGGATGGGATGCTGCGCCACCTCAACTCTCTCCACCTAAAAGGGGCAGTGGTGAACAGGTCTTCTCAGAGGAACCCAAGGCAAGTGTCCTCACAAGCACAGCGTCTCTCCTACTCCTCTTTGCTATCTCCAGCTCTGGGAAGCAGCATGTACTCAATGCGATCACTCGGGTCAATGCTGGGCCAGCCTCAAATGAAGCCAGCCACATCTCCTTCCTCCTCAACCAAAATACACCCCTGGTCAGACCAGCACTGAGAAACCAGAGCTCAAGTACATTCTTCTCGGAGAGGGCAGTGCAGGGACACAAGGCGGTGAGCCCACACTGACTTGTGAAAAGGGACTGGAAAGGAAACCTACAGCATTTAAAACTGGTACTAAAGTGCAACAAAAATGTCCTAAACTCTTTGAAATCAATTGCAGTAAGAGGGGTCTGCAAAGCTTCAAACTTCCAGTTACTGCAGGGCACCCTTAAAACACAACCCAACAACAACTAGGTAAGAGCAGACCAAGGAGCCCTTTGGTGAAGCAAGGAATACGAGGCCACCACAGAGAGTTTCAGCTCCTGGGGTCAAACATCATATTTAGAACACATGAAAAGGAACAAAGTTAAAGCAAAAAAACAAAAATACAACTCTTGAATCTTGCGCAATGAAACAGTTAAACTTTTTGGTGTTTTCAAAAGAAATCCCAACAGACAGCCTGGCATAACTTTATCTGCTTCCTAAGGGAGAGATGCCCATTTGACCCATGACTCAGGACACCATGTGCACTGGACATGTTCCATCCTTATGTATGTCTCAGCATTCCTCCATTCATAAAAACAAATCGCCTAGATCCTTCCTGTTTACTCTTCAGCCTGAAAGGAAAAACCAAAACTGAAGCTAGATGGAAGATAGCCAGAGGGAGGAGAAAGTTTTCACAGACTGGAGGCCAATCTCATCAGCTCCACAAGCCTGGAAAGTGCAATCCTCAGTGTCGCCTCATTTTAACTTTCCTGGCTGGGCTGCCGTCCTCCTCTTCCTCGTCACAGTCCTCCGTATACTCGTAAGACCTTCGCCAATAGTTCTCAGAGCTGAAGTTGCTCCGTCTCCTATGTTTTGGTAAGAGGACTGAGCGCCTGTTCTCCTCTTTATCCATTTCTAGAATCCGTGGCCTATGGAGAGAGAGAAAGAGGGAGTGAGAGCACATCCATGACAGGATTCAGGCATTCCTTGTGCAGACACTATCTGCGGTTTTGCATACTTTGAGCGATATGACTGACTGTTTCCACATTGCTTTCCCAGTGCTGGGCACTCAGCAGAGCAGGAACAGATGACCAAGTTGCACTACCCATGGGGAGGCTGCAAACTTTGCTTTCGATGGTGCAAGTCCTTCCCCTTCCCAGGGCAAGTTTTGGTCTTTACCTCCACCAGGAACACTTCCAAACAGCCCAGTCACCTCTTTTTAAGTGCAGCTTGTGGCCCCAAGAAACATCCCTTGGGCAGAGGGGTCTGCCTCTCCTCCAGCAGAACTCACAGCAGAGAGCTGAGCTCCTTTTCAAGCTGCTGAGGTGCTTGTGGTGCAGGATCAAACCACAGCTCCGAACTCCTTTGTCCTCTCGCTAGTTCTCACAAACATTAGCACAGTGCAGTTGTTACTTCTGCAAAGCTGCCTCTGCTCTCACCTGCGATCTCTTTGTAGTAGGACTGGGCTGGTGGCTGCAGAGACCACTTGTTTTATCTTAGGTGGCAACTGCCAAGTTTCTCCAAGAGATACCACTATCTGATATCCATGCTATTTACCTATGTTATACTGGAGCCTTTGAGGCCAAAGGAAGAAAAACACATGTTTTTCATACCCATCTGCTGCAGGAGTCCATGAAAGTCCCTCCACCCCGATAAGGTCACAACAGGCTAAAACCCAGCCCTCACGATCTGCAGATTTGTCCTGCATGATTGCTCCTCTAATCATACACCAGCCCACTGCATGCTCAGAGGTAAGCCTTCATTTGCAGGCTAGCTTCTCTTCTTGATCTATCTTCCCAGTCAGTCTGAGTCCAGGTGAATGAACACCGCTCATAAACAAGTCATCCCCACCCTCCTCCCTCCAGGACAGGTTGAAACACGAGCTGGGACCGCACAGCAGCCAAGCCCCGGGACCGAACCGACTTTTAGCTTTTACACCATCTGCAGAGAATGCTCTCTTGATCCTCCGGAAGCTTTGGAATTGGAGAATGCCAGAAATATTGCACGACAGCTGGCAGACTGGCTATCACTCACGGCTATCAGTACGTTCACGCAGAGCAAGGTGGTGTTTAAGGGAAGCCTTGCCGCAGAGCTCAAGCTGTCTGAAACCTCAGCAAGCAGCATCCCTGAAGGTCAGGCTTCTGCTTTCACACAGTCTGGTTACACACACAAAAATATACACATGCAGCTCTGGAACCAAAACAGGTCTGAGAAGCTTCCCAAGGCGGCCTTCACCTTTCCCAGATAGCAAAACCTCACATTCTCTCCCAAGACTGCTTTCATAATATAGTTTAACACAGCTGCACAGGTTGCTTGGCAATAGAGGTCAAAAATAATTAGCTGCAGGGAAACTATTGTTCTGAATGACTGCATTATCAACAGCCAGCCAAATCTATTGCTTCTTCATTATGCCACTCACAGGATAAACAATGTAAGCTGCTTACAGCCAGAGCTTAGCCTCTGCAAGCCTAGGAGGAACGTATAAAGAACCTCATTCTGATAAAACAGATCTGTGCACCACAGAAAGCACCCAGGAGGTGCAAACTAGGATGCTTTTAAGTGTGCTGTGCAGCCTCTCTTGTCAGAGGCCAGGAACCTTAGACATGCACTGACCTAGAGATACCATCCAAAACATTGATCTTAGCAGACATCATCCTACCTGTGAGCAGCATCAGGATCTGCTTTGCGATGGGACCGCTTTGGTTTCAGGATCTGGTCCCGGTTGCTTCCCGATAGACGGTCAGAGTTATAACCTGGTGGCAACACAGAGCTACTCAGGGATTTTGTTTCCAATCGAGGTGCATCTAGTCTTGTTCTGCAAATATTTAAAGAGAAGAGAATTTGCAAGGAGTTTCTACAGAACCGCTAACATGCTGCAGTGGACGTCTGTCCTAGATGCTGAAGCAGAACCCTCAATCGCAGCCACACAGCTCAGGAAGAAGGTCAGGACTATTACGCTCAACAGCAGAACGAGCTGCAGCTTTCTGCTACTTGCAGCTTCAGCTTTAACCTTTGCTGCCTTGGTTAGAGGAAGGCTTAGGAACATGTGTAGTCATGAGGTGAATGCAAATGGTGCTGGGCTCACTGCAATCCCAGTTATGGGATACAGAGTAGAGGCGTTGGAGCACCTGTAAAATCCTGTGAAATCACAGTGACTCGTCAATAACTCGCAGCTCCAGTTAAGCCACCTGGGAGATGCCCTGCGAAATCATCATCACCTACAACAGTAATAACTGCTTCTATCTGGAAACTCCCTACTGTCTCAAGATCTTGTGGGGTCAGGCCTTTCTCAGCTTGACTAAGAGGTTTAAAGAGTTGAAGCACGAGTCAGGAGAAGGTCTAGCAAACAGAAGCTGCACCACATCCCTTCCAGCAGCGCAGCACACGCTCAAGCTACAGCGGAGAGCAAGCACAGCTCATCCCAGAGCAGAACTGTCACTGGCCCAGGCACGACTGTAGCCATGCACATGTGGAGGGGAAGCAGCAGGCTAAGCAGCAGGAATAAAAACTCCACGGCGCAGCGTCTTATCATGGCGCTATCGCCATCTCCCAAGCACAGCACAGTTACCAGTCTCAACTTACAAGCTCTGCTAAAGTCTATTTCAAAACTCAGACTGAAGCCTAAGAATGGGCAAAACACTCTAAAAGGTGGTGCTGGTGCTCCAGAGCTGCCTATTTCAGGAGGATGGAAGCCACTTCCCAGAAGGAAAGGCACCCTGATATTGTTGCTGCAGCCTGTCTCCCTCCTTGGGATTAGGGGTGAATATGGAAGGGGTCTGGGTGAAAGAAAGCGGAGAACCACTACTTGCTCTCTAGTGCTGAACTTTAGCTCCTGAGGGAGGTTTCCACAGGAGAATCCCAACCTAAACTCCCATTAGGAAGCACGTTCAGTTGCCAAGCTTCCTGTCCGCCATCAGAGAGAGCCTCTTCAAGTTAACCAGGGCAATGCCAGGCTGGCACACGTGAAACCGGGCATGGCAGCCCAAGTCTGCCCAGCATGCCAGAAACAAGGAACACTTCCGCAGGCAGCTGCCAGGCTGGAGCCGGCGCTAGTCCACAATGCCATCGTCCTGAGCTGTTCTCAGCTCCAGGACTGGACCCAGTCCAGCTTGAACACCAAAGGCATTGCAGATCCTGCCCCAGACAAGTTAGGTGGTTTAAATACCTCTCAAATACAACAGCAACTACAGGCCTGCAATTAAAACAAACAAACCACCAAATATACTGCAAGGGCAAGGGAACACCAGCCACGCTCTCTCTGTCCACAGAGCAATGCAGGTATGAGTTGCAGAAGCAGGTATGAGGAGAGGCTATACTAAAATGGAGAGTAAATTACCTACTGAAGTTCAAGTTAAATAGAATAACTCCCCAACGCAATGGCTTGCAAAGAAATGCTTACAAACGGCAGCATAAGCCCTCTAAAATGACTTTCAAGACCCGCTTCAATAGGTCTTATTTCTATCCCCACCTCCCACATTACCTCTTTCAGCATCTCATGAAATTGAGCGCACCGTTCCTCCCCCCCAGACTCTTGCTCAAAGCGCTTCCAAACCTGGCTGGCTCCCCGCAGTCCTGCACTCCGATATGCAGGAAACACTGTAAATATCATCACACTACAGCACTGAAGTGTTTATGACCTACTTGGTAACCACGCCGCTCTCAAGCATCCTGCAAAACCCAGCCACTTCTCTAGCTCATGCAGCTTTGTTCTCCTGCCGCTGCCAGCAAAAACCGTCTCTAGAACCACACGCTCGGAGGCAAGAGCAGATCCAGACTCAAACGTCTGGGGCCCAGCAGGCTCTGGCAGCCTATTCAGAGCCGAATAACCCAGCTCCAAGCTGCAGCAAAGTTTATGCTGCTCTGTGACCCAACTGATCTGATCCCGCTGGAAAGCTCAGGGCTGATTCTTACCATGAAGATGAGGAAGGGGAGTTTTATGAGGCCGCTGGCTGCTCCCAAGCCTTTCATGCTAGCAGGCTACCAGCGGAAGTAGCTGTTTTCCTGGTTGCATAACACGCTATTTCAGACTGCACAAAGTCGCATGATCCGGGGCTAGGGAATGGCATTCGCTGCAGCAATACATGCCACGGGGATGCGAGCGCAGACAAAGGTCACCGCGGCCCTGCTGTGCATGCATGCATGCACACGGGACTCAGCGAGGAGATGGCCGCCGTCACAGGGGATAAGCAGCAATTAATAAGCTCTATTTGGCAGCAGAGTGCACCCTTTGGCAAACAGGCAATTGCCATGTATTCACCAGGGCTGCTAAGCTCTACGGAGATTACACAAAAATAATTACCAGGGGGTTTCCACTTTGCTCAAGAGAAAAATCCTGTTGTGGTTTCATTCAGCCTGCCAGTCAAGTCAGCCCATCACTGTCTGCATATGACTGGGCAGAGACACACTTCTGCTCTAGCACTAAGCAAATCAGGCCCCTAAAATCAGGGGAAGACAGAAGGACGCACTGCTACAGAAGGATAGCTAAGCAAACATACGCAACAGGGCTCTGCGAGGAGCTAATGGGCCTTGTCTGTTCAGCAGCGATGCACCAGGTCAGCCGGGTACATCTCAGCCAGCTAGGTGCTTGCCCAGTTGCACTTTTGAGGACAGTCAGGCTAGACGGAAATAAATCAACACCCTTAGCTTACAGAAGCTGGCGAAAGCAAGAGGTAGAGCCAGTTTAAACGAGTATCTTAGATATCTGCACCAGTTTGGGCACTTCAGTTTATTTAGCTGACTGACTTTTCTAGGGAACTGCTCTACAGCCTAGGACAGGCAGCTTCTCTATCCCAAAGCCCAACTAAAGCAGCTACAGGATTTGGAGATGCCTTCCACTGGTGTTCATCAGCACTCGCACTGCTTTTTGTTGGCTGCAGTAACCAACAATGTGAACACAACAGTCTTTTAGTTTTTATCGCAACCCTCTCACCTTAAACCTCACGTGGCAATAACCAGCTATTGGGTGGTTTGGTTCTAATCTCTTTCTTTCATCCCACTCTATCACCTGCCACATCTCATCCCGCCTCCCTGGGTCTGTGCTGATTTAGCCTGGCTAACGCCTCAGGGCTGCTGTTTTTCCTGCCTTCATTTCATGGGTCTCTCTAACCAGATGTCCAACTCCAGTCCACTGGCTTTGTGCCATACCTTCACAACGTTGCCAGACTTGTTTTGAAACCAACTAAGCCGTCCAAAAGCTCAGCAAGTCTGAATCTAGACCACTTGCCTGCTAGCCTTATGCCAGTCTGCGCCACAACTGCAGCCCTGCCACCAATGCCCACACTTTTGGCTCGGTTCACAGGACTCAAGTCATGTGTTTTCACTTGCAAAAAGATTTCTTGACAGCAGAATTACTGCTAACACCTTCTAAGGCACAATCAATATGGGTCAATGTGTGGCAGTCACATTTTTTGGTCTCCTAGTAGAAGACACTGATGAGAGAGGACATTTCTGGGCACAAAAAAAGGTTATACTGAGGGAGTTTGGGGTGGGATTGGTTTATTTTTTCTCCATTTTCTTAAGAGCTTTAGGAACAAGCACTGGTTGATGAAATGCCATCAAGACAGCGTATCTTCTTAAACAGGAAGCGTGCTTCTAAAACAGCTTACAGAGCTTGGCTTCCCAACACCGACTTGAAGGACAAGTTCTGTAAAGTGAGCACTAAATTCACTGCATCTGTTTCCCTTCAAAGCCAGCATCTTCCTCTCACTCTCCCCAGGAAATGAAAGCCATGTTACCAAGAAAACTTTATCTGCTTTACAGGAGATTCTCCATCATAAGCATTAGCTCCAAAGGACTGTCCAGGTAACTCTCTCATGTGGATATCATATGGTCAGACACCTGAATACATAGCCCAAAACAAGAGAGTTTGAAATCCTAGCTGTTTGGAGTTAGGCAGCCAATAAAAGCCAGGTGTTTGGACACGAACAAAGCTTGCAAACCCAGACATTACAATGAAGTACTGCCGCACTGAGCCAAGAAGTGATTAACTCTGCAGTAACAAGTTCCATCTACTTCCACCAGCCAAGCGATGGGTACAGCAAGACACAAGTAAGGATGAGAGTGACATCCAAGCAAGATGTAAGATCAAGCCAGCAAATTAACAAGCAAGACAGTTTTAAAGTGTTTCTTTAAAAGCACCTTAGGAAACATCACAACACCACATCCAAGTTTATCTTACTGTCCGGAGGGCTTCAACACTTACTTTCGAAGGATGATGACAGCTCTTCTTTCCTTAATGTCCTGTGGTCGAATACAGTGTGTAATTTCATCGGCTGCATATCCACTGACAACAAAAACAAAAAGCCACTGTGAGAAAGATGACAGGCAGAAGCAGAAAGTGGTTGCCAGCCTCAACAACTCAGTTTGGCCAGTCATTTCCTAACTTCCACCAGGAATTCCTCCTCCAAACACCATTCCCCAGGCACACAGGAGCTAGACTTATAGGAAGGAGGAAACTCCAGGAAAGAATGAGGACAGTCAAGGCTTTTTTTTTTTTTTTACTCAGTTTTTTAGCATATACCAGAGGAAACTACCACGTGCCACAACATTGTGAAATAAGACATGTAGAAAATGAGTTTATGGAGTGTAAATTCAGCCAATTCATTTATCAAGAAATTAGAGAGCAACAGCAGGAAAAAAAAAATCAGCATATTGCTCCAAAGCATCTTCTGACATATGTCCCTGAGAAAAAGCCATCTCTCGTGGCTGAGATGCACAGCATACCTAGACACTTATGCATACCGGAGTCAATGAGTAGATTCATTAGTTGAGGAGGGGGTGCAGTGGTGGTAAGAGTCAAGTGTCTCACCCCCCTCACCTGGGCACAGATGCTGCTGTCTCAGCACCCTCACCCTCCCCACTACCCCCCCGTGTGGCACATCCTCAGCCACAGTACAAACATCACTCCCCAGCACAGCCCAACCCCAACACAACGCACAGGGGGTAATCTTCAAATTCAGACCTGCAAACCAAGCTGCACTCCTAAAACCTCCCTGCCACAGGGCTCACAAGGTGAGACAGCTACCTGGGCCGAGGAAAATTACACCAAGCTCAAGCAGCTACGTCACCACGCAGTAGCCGTTCTTGGCAGGAGCATTTCGCTGTATGAGATGACTTCACCTACTCCGCGTTTCTAGCAGGCAGGAGGAAAGCCATGGCCAATGAGGGCCCCAGCTACCCACAACACAGAGTAGCATTTTTCTTGTGATTGCTTCTGTTGTTCAGCACAACTCCCAGGGTCCAGCGCAGCACGTGAGATCACGGCGGGTCTGTGGAGAGCGGCCATCATGCTTGCTCGGACACACAAACCACCCCGCCAGGAGCACATCTCGTCACTCGCATGGGTGCTAACGAGCAGGTCCGAGAGGTGGGCCTGCCCTCTACCTGCTGTTTGGAGAGCATCTGTTCACAAAAGAGCCTTCTAGAGTCCAGTATGGGGAAAAAAGAGAAGTTAAAACACCTTCAGAGCCTCCCGAAATAGCTGACAAGGACAGAAATGTCTTTGAAGGGACTTGGACAGAGGCTGCTGAAGCCATACAAAGCTAGCACACCCCCACGCTGGTTTAACCTGAAGCAGAAATCAATGAGCCCACTCTCTCCACGAGGCTTTATGGTGAAGCTGCTGTCAGCCAGCCCTCCAGGAGCACGGCCAGGGTCATTGGCTTGCAGGTTATTCAGAATGCTCAGAGCAGAGAACAGATCACGCACACGCAGGTCTCCTCTGGGGATGGGACCGGGTTTCCTTTATCTGGTTAGATAACCCACCCACTCACTGAGGAACACACACCTCTCAAAGATGGATTTACTGTTCTAAGAAGAGAGTTAAGAGTCTAAAACCTGTTCAGTTAAAACAGGGGTTGATGTCCATCCCCCCCATCCTCCGGGGCACTGCAGAACAAGACAGTGTTATGTGAAGGGGCTTATAATGATGCTCTATTATGTTCCAGGAATCTCTGCGTCAAGCTCCAGCAAATTCATTAATATCACCCATGTTAACATTCAACTCGGCACATCCTCAGCGACACTCTGAACATCAGGAAAAGGTCTGCTTCCAGACCTGTGCTCTCCATCATGAGATGTCAGCCTGGCCACTCGTTCTCACTCCCCAGGCAGCGACCTGCTTTCCAGCTCACTTTCAGAGTGATGCCAGGCACAGCTCGTGGTCCCAGATGCACATGGGCAGCACCAAAGCAACAGCCCCACTAACCCCATCCGAAGCCGTAATGGGGACCCACCAGTCTGTCCCAGTGCCACGCTGGTGTGGGAAAACCCAGCTTGCACCACATCAGATACAGTGATAGCATCTCTCCGCACGGGCCTCCAGCAAAGGGGTTTGCACAGGCACCAGGAAGAGAAATGGAAGAAAAAGATTATTTGGTTGTGTCACACTTATTCTGCTTTGTGCCAGTATGAACTTCTCACCCACTGCCTGGCCTCGCTGCATCCTGATGAGGGGTGATGGGCCAGAAGCTGGAACAAAACACCTATAATGATATCGAGGATCTACCCAGAGATTTCTTGCCCAGAGAACAAACCCAAAGCACAAGGTAAGAGACAACTTGGTAAGGAAAACCCTAAATTGCTGCCCACAAGAACACCTGAGCATGTCTCCAGCCTAGAGCATTTTCCAGAAGAACATGGGGAGGCGTAGATGCTATCCACACACTCCCCCAACTAACACCCCGACTCCTAACCAACCTGTCGGATCTTACACCCCCAACTCCTCCTCAAGTCCCTTTTCCAGTCCACAAGAGTTGCTGCCGAGCCACAACATAACTGATTCACACGGAGATGAAAGCAGATTTTTTTGTACAAACATCACCAGAAAGGAGGCCCTGAAGTTCTGCAGAACATCTAACAAGAAATATTTCTAGGGGTTGACAACAGCCAGGCCAGCTCAGAGGCAGAGGAACCTCGCACACTAGCCCATCACAGAGTTTGTGCAGCTCAATGCTTTACTTGTGGTTCAGGAAAGCTGCTGCCACAAACCACAGCTGTGACACCGACCAGTTCAAGCAAAGCTTGAACAAATCTATTTGCCTCATCACCACTAGCACATGCAGAACTTCCTCTGCACCAACGGCCTCTTCTGAGGCATCAGACTTTTCTGGAAAAGCATCTAATCCAGGCAGTTGCAGAGAGATTCCTCCAGCTGGGAAGAAAGCAGATTCATCCTCCAGAAACTCCAACCAGCTCCAATTATGTTACCATCAGGCATGCCTTGAGACAACAGGAGAGACAAACATTACGATGTTTCCACTGCTATTACGCACAGCGGGGAGACAACCTGGAGCACTCACCAGCTGCAGAAGGGAAGCCCGTATGGCGTACAAGCTCTCAGAACTTGGGAAATGTTACTTTTGGTCATTTATTCCCCTGGCTAAATGCAACTGCACTATTTTCAACCCCAGTTCTGAGATGCAACACCCAACAGTTAAACAAAAGCTGGCTGGGGACTCAGATTTGCTACCTACGACAGCATCTGTGGGGCACGGTGTGGTGCAGGGGTCTGGCTGGAACCACCCACCCTGGCTGGCTCTGCACAACGTCCCCCCCAGCTCCATCCCTTTTTTCCAGCCTAAGCATTTGTCAAACCACGTGTTTCCCAGATGAATGGGCAAATTCCTCCATCTCCTCCCCACTGCTTCTATCGATTGACACTTATCAAATTCTTTTTTAAAAAAAAACAAACAAAAAAAACCAGAAGAACACCCACAAACGTGGTCCAGCAAGCAGCCCCCAACAGGCAGCTGATAGTCGAACAGGACTGAAATCCAACTTCACTCCGACTGCCTGAAAAGAGCAGCACAGACCGAGACACTGCTGTCGCTTTCCCTTGGCCCGGCTGGCAGCAGGACAAACCTGCAGGAGCACCGGCTTCCCAGGGCTGCGGGAAAAGAGGGGACTGGAGGAGGTCTTCTTTTAGATGTCACAACCTACAAGGGCAAGTCTTCACTGCAGATGGGAAAGGAGAGGAAAAAAGTGCCTTGCTGGAAGAGCAAAGGGCTAGTTAGCAGGTCGCAAGGTGGCTTAGCCTTTGTCGTGCTGGCAGAGGTGCGCAGCCCAGCCAGGAGAATCTCCATTCCACCTTTTAAACACTAACCTGTCGTTTGAGGTCCGAATACGTTCCAGTGAGTTTGAGGCGGGTTCAGTGTTTGCAAACACCACAGCCTGCTTCACAGTAGGCAAATAAAGTCAAGGGAGGGATATGGGGAAAGCCCCTCTGCAAACTCCCTGCCGGATAGGTGGCTACAAAATCGAGAGGACAATTTGGAACAGGCTGCTGAGAGCAGGAACATGACAGGTGAGACCTGGGTAGAGCCTGAGAACGATGTGGGGGCAAAGGGAGAGATCCCACAGCCTTCTTTAGATCCTCATGATTTCCACACTGTAACCAAACACATGCGGCTACCCTGGCTTCCCCAGAAAGGCGGCACGCCAGCAGCAGCCACTGACCCAGCAATATTTGAATCACAGACATTACAAGCATGCCATTTCTATCTGCGCCGTTTCCCTATCTCCAGGGCAACTGCCTTCAGCAACTGTTTACTAAGAGCAGAAAAAGCCAAGTTTGGGGAATTGACTTAAACATCACCAAGGGCTGGATTTTGGAGATACACCCCTCAGAGCCGACCCGACGGTCTGCAGCTCTCCCTGCTCCTCCCAAATTGCTGGGGTTAGAGGGGAGACAAGGAGATCTGCAGGAGTCGAGGAACCTGCATCCAGCCAGGATCATATCATCACAGAACAATCACTTTGGCAGAATCTCTCTTAAGTGAGTGCTAAGTATCTGCTAACTGCTGTACCAAAACTGAAATAATCCCCTTTTTTTCAAGTCTATTATTTGCTGGAAAATGGAACATCTAACTCCAGAGTTGGGTTGGTCAGAAACCAACCCTTCTAATCAAGAGTTAAAAGATATCTTTGTTTGTTTTGTAACTCCGGTTGATTGCTTTGACCATCAGTTAATAAACTGATTACGGCACCCAGGTGACCCTGGCCACCAACCCAAATGCACCGGCCTGGGAGACACCCCGCTCCAATTCCGGGAGCCCTGAGCCAGCTTCCTCTTCCCAGCAGTTTTGGGGGAAGAGCAAGGGTCTGGGACAAGAAAACATCATTCTCTGGTCCAGGAGCAGAGAAAAGCACCTCTTCCTCCTCCCGCCATCCTCCACTGCAAAGTCCCAATCCTGCTTCAGATGTAAGGCCATGAGTTTTCCTAGTGGCTTTGACTACAGGACTTCAGACTGACCCTGCATTAACAGCACTGCCAGCATGCTTCTAAGCAAGAAAAAACTCTCACTGTCCTTAAAAAAAAAAAAGGCCTCTGGCTGTAAAAGAAAGGACAACTATTTACTCCAGGCCCGCCGGGGAAAGGCGGCACAGGGGTTCGCATCACCGGCAAGAAAATTAGGGTAGAAAGTTTCCCTCCTGGTGTCTAAGAGAAGTCAGGGAGCAGAGCGGCTGCCTCACAGCCAGCAGTCTCCATCCCCAGGGATGGAGCTTGCTCTGCGGTAAAAGGACACTCGGCAGGATGGGTGCTCCCGAGTCCCGTTTCACGAAATCACCGTGACCTCTGTCCCCTCCCCGTCCTCCGGCACCGTCCCTGCCCTGGCCACTCCAGCAGAGAACAAGAAAATGTCCTCGGCGCTGTTCCCGCTTCCCTCTGCAGCCTCCCTCATCCCTCGCTAATCCACAGAAGTTACCTAACGCTGGGGGTACGGCGAGGATTAGTTAACGTTTGTGCAGCTTTTCTGAGATAAAAGCTACGCGAGATCTCAGCATTTATTATTGATGCACTAGTCAACGGTGCAAGGCTGTGCGTATGCGGGGGGAAAAATTCCTTCCCGAACCCTGCGGCGATCACTTTACAAGCCAAAGCAGGGGATTGTGTTACAGCCCGGGAGCCCTGAAAACCGGCCTGGACCTTTACCAGTCCAAAAAATAAAACCCCAAATGAGGATACTGTTGGTAGCTCAGAGCACTGCTGGCATAGTCCCGGCGATCCCTGCTCCTGGCAGGGAGCACTCTGACCTTCAGGGACACGAGGGACTGGTGCTTCCCGAGTCGGGCAGCCCCGGCGCTGGGCTTTGAGCTGCGCTCCCCAAGACCTGGGCGCCGGCAGGTCCGTACGCACCAGCCTGCACGTACTCTGCCTGTCCCCTTACCTGCCTGCTCTGCCCGCCCAGCGTGTACCGGGAGTCAGCGGGGATTAGGAAGCAGGCGTTTCCCAGTGCCAATCCCAGCTTTACTACCGACCGGCTGCATGACCTTGGGCAGGTCATTTCACCTCCACAGCTCTTCCCCCGTTTGCCAGAACGCACGTGAAGTCCTTCCTTGTGCCTGTGACCCGCCACTGCTTCCAAGCGACAGTCCCATGGGGCTCTGCACTCTGGTCTCCCCAACGGCGTCGGGCAGGGAAGGGTTTAGCATTCCCAGTTTACAGACTGGGAAGACGAGGCCGTTCACACCTCCTCTCCACGCTTAAGGTCAGGTCAGGGAGGCACTGGCCAAGCTAAGAATAGACCCAGGAGCCCCATCCCAGCCAGCTGCTCCGCTCTGACCGCTCTTGGGCAGAGGATCCATTTTGTATCTCGATGTGTTATTTTTACCGTTTACGGGAACTACGGCAAAGCTCGGCTCCGCAAGTGGCCGTGCTCCCACCAGGACTCGCCTCGAGGCCTGCAGAGATGGTGCTACCCCC